AATGGGAAACACAGTGAAAAAACAAAATGTATTTTATGCAACTTGGTTTCCCATATTAGAATACTTATAAAATAGCAGTATAGTTCCAAAAAACTCTTTTTATGCAACACTACTACATCTTTAAGAGTTATGACACTGAAGAAGCATGACATATACAATTTATGGATTGGTCAGTTCATGTTAATTGTTATGTGAGCTGTGGTGGATCAAGTGGTTAAGACGCTGAACTGCAGGCTGTGGAAGGTTGGTAGTTCAGCAGTTCGAGACCCGAGTTGCCACATGATGGAGTGAGCTCCCGTCTCTGGTTCCAGCTCCTGCCAACCTAGCAGTTCGAAAGCAAGACATTGCAAGTAGATAAATAGGTACCACTTCAGTGGGAAGGTAACAGCGTTCTGTGCGCCTTGGTGTTTATTCATGCCGGCCACATGACCACGGAAACGTCTTTGGACAGCGCTGGCTCTTCGGCTTTGTCTACAAAAGGCCATTGTCTACAAAAGATCCTCTGCCAGTTTCACCTTTCACTACAATTCCACAGGGCCTGCAAGATGGAGCTCTCCCACCAGGCATTCGACTGAGGAGCCGCATTTCATACTTTAAGAAAGATTCAAGAGCCTTACCCTGGAATCCATCATGGCCATGGGTGCCATGCCTGTATTCAATATACTATGGGCCCTGGTCAGTAGTCTTACAAACACTGCTGATTGGATACCTGCTACAGTTATTATTTAAAAACTGTTTCACCATCATATATATAATATCTATATATAGCACTTTATAAATGTTTTAATAATTTTAACCTGTTTTTAACCTGTTCTTAACTTTTAATGTAAACTACCCTGAGCCTGCCTTGGCAGGGAGGGCGGGTTATAAATCTAAATAAATAAATAAATAAATAAATAAATAAATAAATAAATAATGCTGCTGCTGCTGCTGCTACCTTTCAAGGCTTCCTCTGCCCCCATCACCATGGGAACTGTCAGTTCTCTTCTGCTGATGTGGCTGTGGATCCCTGAAGTGGGTGGATGCATCTTAGTCTGGTGTTTCAGCAGTGACCATTCTGCTTTGAGTGACTCTGTTAGTTTAGCCTCTTGACAGAGTCTAAACTCCTTATGATATTGCTGTCAGGTTTGCTAACATGCACAAATGCCCTCAGGTGTACATCCCAGAGGTGGTCTCCAGCCTTAGGACAAAGTAAAGTATGAAGAGTATGAAAAGTCTCTTCTGTAATAATCTACAGATCAGTACTTGGGAACTGAGGCATGACTCCAGAATGGATGTGTTACACAGATGGAAATCTGTAGCATTCCAGTGTTATGTCTGCTGTATGCATTGTTCCTGTGCTTAATTCTGATCCGTCCGAGTTGCTAATGAATCAAAGTCTGAAAAGGTGAATCAAAGTTATTTCAGTTGCTTGTATTACTGTCTTTGACATTTCCCACATATGGCAATATCTAGTGAGACTAGTTATAATATATTTGAATTCTGTATTGCCAAATCTGGTATCCAGCATTCAGAGGAACTCTGCAGGTGTTATTTTTGTGTTAAGGTCCAAGGTGATGTCAGGGCAGTATGAACTGGAAATGCCCTATAAAATTTGATAGAGGAAACCATCTGGATTTGGAGTGTATTGCTTTTCTACAGTGTGGAACAACTTTTTAAGGCTCTAGTCTCCCAATTTAGATCTTGAATGAAATTGATCTTCTCCTTTGAGTGGATTCAAGTTTTCTCTCAAGCAGCTGTTTCTTTCTATCCCCCGCTTACCTTAGAGGGGTAGGCAGTAAATTTTTTTCTGCAAAAAAAGAGAGCAAAATCTTTAAGTGCTCCTCAGGAACTTTCAGGAATGTCACAGGGTTCTATTTAACTACCACAGAGAGCCTGTTTACTCTCTTCCTCATAAATCCAAGCTGCCTTTACCATGGAACATTTGGCATTTGAAGTTGTGTGCTATCTGCTAAACTTCCAGTATTTGAGACCAGGTGGAATGGGATTTAAAAAACAACAACTGACACTTGTTCAGACCAAGCACACATAACTGAAGTGCCATTGAAGGTGGCTGGAATCTCCCTGGGGGTTGCATTTGGGCAGTATGACACGGCCAAAGTAATTTCTTACTGAATTACATTTATTTATTTTTATTTACGTTTATAGTCTGCCTTTCTCACTGAGACTCAAGGTGGATTATTCAGTGGAAGTCGATTCAGTCAACAGGATGGGGCATCCAACAAGCAAAGTAATAGGGTTAGGATTGCTTGTATTCCACTGAAAGGGATATACTGACTATGAATAATTCTATCACCTCTGGACGCTTCTTTTCTCACATGGTATGTGTGATAAAGTGAGTGTCCCAGGTCTATATGGGATGTTCTCCAGAAGCAGCAAAAGAGGAAAGATGCTTCCCATGCTTCCTCTTCTCTGTGGTTCCTTGACATGTCTGAAAGAGAAAAATGTCTATTTTCTCCATTTCCAAGTGACAAGAAGCATGGGGAGATGAAATAACTCATGCTTCTTGTCACAATATTTCTGGAGAGTATCAGAAGAGGCCATGCTGGGGCTCTGAAATGCATCTTAATCTTAACAGATTTATAAACTGGGTTTTTACGTTCTTCATCATCAAGGTGGAAGTATGAAATGATTGGCACTAGTTCCACTAAAATCTAGAGTAGCCTCAGTAATATACTCCTGTCTTGCACTGCTATCATAAAGTGGAATTAGCCATTACAGAAGATATTGAGATTTCCTGCTCTGAGTTGAGATTGTGTGATTGGCCCAAGGTCACCCAGCAAGCTTCCATGGCAGAGACAGGAACCTGAGTCTTCCAGGGCCAAACTACATGTGGTGGTGTCCTCATGGCTGCCATGGGAATGCCACTGTTATTTTAAAGTGATTTTAAAATGCCACGAGAGCCTGATCCTGATCAAGCCTGCAGCAAGCTGAGTAGCAATTGTTCCCCCCTTATCAAGTGGCAAATGGGCAATTGGGAGCCCATCAAGTGCCAAAATAGCTGCTCCCCCAGCTGGAAAATGGGGGGGGGTTAACATTGCTACTGTCCTCACAGCATTTTTAAATCACTTTAAAATGGTGATGGCATCCTCATGTCAGCCATGAGGACACCGTCATGCCTAGTTTGGCCTCCAGATTCTAATGGTGCAGAAGACAAATAACAGTGGACACAATCACTTTTATTGAACAAAAATCAGTGAATGTAATAGTTGAAATCTCAAGGACCCTTCTGTAGGAAGAGTGAGTAGTAATTCTCAAGTTACCCTTTTCATACTTATAAGTACACCCACAATTAACTCCTAAGATACTGGAGTATCTGAGAAGGATTTGTGGTCCCTACACCTAAGGGGCAGGCAGGAGGTGAGGCAAAACCACTGTACATGCAAGAATCAGATGACACCTTGTTGAAGTAAAATGGTCACAACTTTATTGGTTACAGCCGGGCAGAGCCTTGGTGCAGCATGGGGTAGCAGATTCTGGCATCGGCTGACCTGCCTGCTGGCCGATGAACGTGCCATGCCTCAGCCTTCCTGCTGGGGGACACCGTGGGGTGGCAGGATGCGGGATGCCACATGGACACAGGCAACTGCATGGTTCCTTCTGTTACTTGATAGTGAGGGTGTCTCAACAGCCTCCTAGCTGGGCATGTCCCCTGCAAGCCCTCACCACAAAATCCCTTAAGGGGATCCCCAAAGGTGGGGAAGATGGGCATGCAGGCCATATTTCCCCCGAAAATGGATCTGGCCCCAAGCTGATACCACCAGAATGCAGTTGTGACAAGGGAAAGAAAATGGTAATATGCTGTTACAGTGTGAAAACAAGTCAGCGCAGCACAACTGTAACACTGTGATAACATGCAGGTTGGCTAGGAAAAGCCACAAGGCCAACTGAATCTGGCAGCACAGCAGGGCCCTTCAGAGTCAGGCTAGGTGGACCAGAGGGAAAACTCCCTCTCTCAGTTCTGCTAACTTGATCCCAGCCCACCTCCCAGCTACATCAGGTCATACCTGATTGACCAGGCTCGGAGAAGGGGCAATCAAGAGCCCATACAGCTACAGAGCCCTCCCGAACTGTTGCCTGGCTGCTCAGCTATACTGCTGGTTACAGACGGCCGGAAGGCCAATGAATTGCCTTCCCTGCCTCCCTCTGCTGGTCCACAAAGGGGGCCCCAGGTAAGTCTGGAGGCTTTGCTTATACAAATGTAAATCAGAGACAGGGCTGCTGATCCTTTGCATATCACTACTATGAATGAAAGAAGCAGCCCTGAGAGAGGGAGTATACATAGGATTAGAATGTAAAACAATGTACATACAACTCAAACTACATAAAATCAAGTAATGCATGGAACTGTGATATGACACAAACATACCCAGGAGTCTTATCTGGTAAACTCATTTCTGTCTGACGGGGGGAACTTTTAACTCTCAAAAGCTCATACCCCAAAAAATCTTGCTCGTCTCTAAGGTGCTATTGGACTTGAATTGGACTCTTCTACTTGAGACCAACACATCTACCCTTTGAAACCATTTCTGACAACTATCCTATCCATTTTATATTCTGCACTGATTTTAAGGTGGTCCAGTAGGGTAGCCTTTGCACGACACAGGAAGAACTTTCACATAATGCTGGTTTCTTTCACACTTCCTGCAGCATGCCTGTAAAGAAGGAATATAGGGAGATGGTGGAAGCCTAGTTAGAACCAGTGCCGTTTAGTGGTTCAAATGACAGGAGCAAGATGGTTGTGATCAAACAGAGTGTTGTAACTGGGGCCACCCCTTACAAAGCACAACAACTGGGTTTGGTCCCTTCCATGAATCTCTAAGTTATTCTGATTACATTCAGTTGACATTATCTCTTTGGAACTTCATGGACAGTTGTCTTGGGGTAGGTTGGCCTTGGCAGCATTCAGCTTGCAGTGCCTCTCTAGGCAACCAAGTAGAAAAAAACCTGAGTTCATTGATATTCAGAATTTAAGCATTGCTCTTTTTCCCCCTCTGCAGACACCTGCATAATAACCAGATCCAGAGCCTGGGAACACAAGGCTTTGAAGGACTCCACAGCCTGGAAACTCTGTGAGTTATTTGCTTTTTCTTTGTACCTACTCTAAATCACCCCCCTAGAAAGACTGGGGTAGTTGTACAGTATATTTCTTCCACCTCATTTCGGCTTCTTTTGGAACACTATATACAGTTCTAGTCCCCGTATCTCAAAAAAGACATTGCAGAGCTGGAAAAAGTACAGTGGAGGGCAACCGAAATGATAAGGGGGCTGGAGCACCTTCCCTATGAGGAAAGGTTGAAGAGTCTGGGACTTTTCATTTAAGAAAAGAGATGACTAAGAGGGGACATGGTAGAGGTTTATAAAATTATGCATGAAACAGTTGACAATGAGAAATTTTTCTCCCTCTTCCAAAATACTAGAAGGTATCCAATGAAGCTGATGGGCAGTAGATTCAGGACGGACAAAAGGAAATACTTCTTTACACAGAGAGTGATTAAAATGTGGAATTCGCTGCCAGAGAATGTAGTGATGGCCACAGGAATTGACAGCTTTAAAATGTAATGAGATAGATTCATGGAAGATAGGTCTATCAGTGACTACTACCCATGATGACTGAGGGGAACCTCCATGTTCAGAGGCATTAAATCTCTGAATACCAGAGCCAGGAGGTAACATCAGGGGAAGGTCTCAGCCTCTATGTCCTGTTGTTGGCCCTCCAGAGGAACTGGATAGACACTATGTGAGACAGGATGCTGGACCAGATGGATGACTGGTCTGATCCAGCAGGGCTCTTATGTTCTTATGTTCACCTCTGTGCAACTGGGTCTAAAAAGAGAAGACTTTTTTCAGGACCGTTCACAGACTATTCAGGGACTGATCACTGAGAACTATTCCACCTTATAGCTGAGCTAGAAAATAGTTGTGCTAACCTGTTCTCAGAGCAAACATCCTTTTTGGATATTATTTAACAGTGTTACTTAACTCCAGAGGAATCAGGAAAACCCAGTCATGAAAGTTCTCCAGGCAAAAGTGCACGTGAACTGCATTTTACACCCAGGTTGGTTTGTTTATTATACGGACTTGGGAAAACAAATATGTGGATGAGTCTGAGGGTATCTGAGCAGATGCCATGGGAGGACAATGGCTTTCATACATAGCTGCAGAGCTATGACTACTCTTTACGCCAAACTATATGCAGTGGAAAACAGGCACTAGGATGAACATAGAAGCTTTGAGATGCTGAGATGCCAGAAGTATACGGGAGCCTTGGCACAAAGTGGCTGTTATATATTGGGATTGAATCATCCTGATTGAATCACCCCAGAGACTGGCTGAGTTTGGAGCAGAAGAACAATAGCCAACCAGTCAATAAACCAATCAAGTAGCAATATTATGTAGATAGCCTATCACTAGGAGTGGGGTGTGTTTGGGTGTGGCCATTGCATGCTATTTAACAGAGCTGAGGCTCTGGAGTCTTGTCTTGTAGTTTTGCTGAAATCACTGAATAGAGCTGATCACTGCAATGCGTCTAGAACCCGGTATTTAACAGTGAAGAAGAAGAGATTGGATTTATACCCCACCCTTCACTACCCAAAGGAGTCTCAGAGCGGCTTAGAAGCTCCTTTCCCTTCCCCTCCCCACAACAGACACCCTGTGAGGGTAGGTGGGGCTGAGAGAGCTCTGACAGAAACTGCTCTTTTTCAAGAACAGCTGTGCTAGAATTATGGCTTGCCCAAGGTCATCCAGCAGGTGCAAGTGGAGGAGTGGGGAATCAAACCCGGTTCTCCCAGATTAGAGTCCGCACACTTAACCACTACACCAAACTGGCTCTCGAAGTGGCACAAAGTGAATCATGGCACGCAGGGCAAAGAAATGTTTTTAGTCTGTCCTTTTCTCATGTGCCAGCACTTTTATCTACAATAAGGCATTATTGATTAAATTTTGGGTTTACATGGACTACAAAGAATTTATTCAAGTATTACTGGAGATATTGTGGTGCTTTCATATTCCTTCCTGGAAACACCTCCATGAAGATATCACAGGTGAAGAGCAAATTATGTGGTCCTTTCCCATCTAAAAATTACACGGCCTTAATAAGATTGAAACTGCCATGAGAAAGGACTGTATCACTTGTCCCATCCATGTAGCCAGTTTGGTGTAGTGATTAAGAGTGTGGACTCTAATCTGGGAGAACCGGGTTTGATTCCCCACTCCATCACATGCAGCTGCTGGCATGACCTTGCGTTGGTCACAAGTTCTGTCAGGGCTGTTCTCTTAAGAGCAGTTCTCGAAAGAACTCTCTCAGCCCCACCTACCTCACAGGGTGTCTGTTTTGGGGAGGGGAAGGGAAAGGAGATTGTAAGCTGCTCTGAGACTCAAGGGTGAAGGGCGGGGTACAAATCCAATCTCTTCTTCTTCGTTTGTCCAGATGTTCCATTGCAGCATGGGAAAGTGCCTTTCAAGTCACTGATACTGGACTTTCTAAAAGGCAAAACTCAGCATCTCTAAGAGTTAAATGCCACATCTCCACACTCAGAAAAAATAAATCTGCCTGGCTATGGTGGAAATTATCTGCTTTGTATACGATGGCCTATAAAACACAAACAAACAATGAGATAAATCAGCATTCCAAAATGTCAGACCAAAAGGTTCTTGCCTTTGGTTTCCAGAGACCTTTTCCACCTCAATAAAATGTCCATAGCTATAATTATAGAATCACATTGTCAGAAGAATAAGTGGGCACAAGAGAGAAGGGAACAGGAAGCAAGAGAGAAAGAGACTATCCCAGCATAAAAGTGTCACTCAGGGAGATAAAGCTGCCACCCAGATGTGAAATTTTGCAAAGAACACAATGTATCTTGTTGTCCCTAGAGAATCTGAGCCAGGGATTAGGAGGAGGATAACATCAGGGAATAAGAATTCCAGACAATACACATACAGCATTTTTCCAGGCTATTCCTGGAGGTTCCTTTTAGGTGGGGGAGGCAGTGAGGGATTTGTGAGGTACCTCATACTCTCCTCTCAGGGAAGCTTCCAGAGACCAGTTTCAGCCTTGTATGGTAGGAAAGATGGTAGTTGGCATGCACATGGTCCAAGGGGTATTAACACCGTCTTTGACACGGCAAGAAATCTAGGCATAAATACCTTGGATCACATAGTACAGCTTCCGACCAGCCTTCTTGTAATGACCATGCAACCATTGTCCTTAAATTGATCTCAGGATCACAGCAGTGATTCACAGCTTAGCTTGCCATCAACATTCTTGGCATACCGTGATCTGCAGCACAAAGATTTTCAGACTGAAAGTCCAGAAGGTATTGGACTCCTGACTTGCCTATGCACCAATGGATGGTAGATTAAAATGGTAACCTAGGAAATATATGCTCTGCACCTTTTATTACATCTTGTACCTCAGGAAGAAAGGGAGCAGCAGCACTGGCACATGAGGAGAGCAAGAATGTGATGTGAGTGTTTGGCTTCTGGCTGAGCTGCGGTGAGCCCCCCCCCCATCATTGCTCTTGTGCAATTAGTTGGCAAAGTATCTCCCCCTGTAGCAACTGCTGATCTTGCCACCAAGACATCTCATCCCATGTAAGATAACAGGAAGAAAGAGGGGAACCTCCGAGTTCTTTCTCTTTTGTGTGGTTTGGCATCTTTCCTCTGGAAGTCATCATCAAGGAGCCTAGTCAGTTCACCTAGCGATAGAAGACAATACATGCAAAGAAGAAAATGCACCACCCCAAGGGCACAGTGGTCACAAAGCCAAGCTTTATTCTAGCAAGTTGATTGATATGAGTTGGTTTTCGAAACTGCTTGCCAAGACTTCTACCGAAACTGACATTAAATCACAGAGTTCAAGCTAGCATATGAAACAGTGTGGAAACAAGGAAATACTGGTCACAGGAATGTACCGAAAGGAGACTCCAAGTTTATAGTACCGGATCTAAAGACTGTGCTGTGTGGACTGGAGGGGTGGGAACAGGGTGTTCCCGAATGGGGCTCTAGCAAAAGCAGGAGGCATGCTAAAAAAAAAATGCGACAGAGGAGAAAAACAGAGCAAAAGAAAAAAGCATCTCTCCTTATATATAATTGAGTAAGAACATTCTATATGAACATTCTAAAATGCCCGCCTTTAGTGTTAGGCCGGAAGAACTGCCACTCAGAAGACGCTGGCGGGGTTGACTGGCTGCTTTGTGCAGTCCCGCCCAGCGTTTCAAGGTCTTTTGCATATGGAAGCTGATTGGACTTCACTGCATTCCACACCTCAAACTCACCCCCCTCCCCGCAAGGCAGTTGGAATGTCAGTTGCATATGGAACCTTCAAGGTCTTTTGCATATGAAAGCTGATTGGACTTCACTCCATTCCACACCTCATACTCCCCCCCCCCCGCCCTGCTGAGGGTGGGGTCTGAGGAGGAGGAGGAGGAAGAGAAAGAGGAGGACCTCAGACAGATACAATGCCATACTCCCCACCCTCCAAACAAGCTGTTGCCAGTCTCCAGGTGACAGCTGGAGAGCTCTTAAAGCTCTGGTGCTAATTCAAAGTGCTGCAATTTGTCGACAGAGTAGTGTTTTGGCAAATCTTTAGGAATTGTTTGGTGCATTTACGATGAGGCACCCACCCAGAGCCTCTGGCATTTTCTCACTCTGCTGGCATCAAAACCAATTTAAGGCAAAATAAGAGGCTACTGAGAGGGGAGGAGATAAAGTTGCCAGCTTTAGGTATGGAAAATCCTGGAGATTTGAGGAGTGGAGGCCGGAGAGGGGGACATCAGACAGGTTACAGTGCCATAGACTCCACCCTCCAACCCAGCTATTTGCTCCTGGGGAACTATTGTTGCCAATCTTGGCCCAGCACCCATCAAACCATTCTCTTCAACCCCCTGCTGTGCAGCTGACTTTCCCCTAGGGTTGCCAATCTCCAGGTGGGACCTGGAGATCTCCCACTGCTACAATTGATCTCCAGATGACAGAGATCAGTTTCCCCTGGAGAAAATGGCTGCTTTGGAGGGTAGACCCTATGACATTATACCTGCTGAGTCCTTCCGCCCCCCCCCATGCTGCCCTCTAC